AGGACTAAGGTAGATACTTGTTTTATTTTTTCTCGTTTATATTCAATATGCAATATGGCCAACATAATACGAATTTTTTTAACAGAGATCGAATCCTTTTGATTTGTATGGAGTTTTGCTTTGCTTTAAATACGCAAAATGTTGTATTCAGAGTTCATGTAAAATTTGTAAAATTCGACTTAGCAACTTTTCACTTTAAGCCAGCGACATGTTAAATTTAAATATGGAAACATAGATTACTTTTTATTACACTTTGAATTACTAATATTATACATATATTTTTTTAAAATTACGTAAAACAATTTTTGTATCTACATAAAAGTTTGCAGCAGTTTGTTTGAATTGATTTAGAACGGGAACATATCTTTTTGTCAAAAGCCTACGAAACGCTTTCAAATAAAACATTTGCCTATTTGAAACTTTGAGGCGCTTAAAGCAAGTGAAGCAAAGCTGCCATTTGGCCACCCTTCATACGTTTTAGTATATTCCAAAAAACTTTTGACAGTTTTCAAAGCTAAGCAAGCAAAGCAAGCCTGCATAGGGCCAGCGCCTTTATGAAATTTATTTCGTAGATAAACTGTTATAGTTTCACTTTGAAGTATCATAGCACCCAGGAAGTAGGTGCAAATATTTTCTATCAGAGAAAAAATTCTCAGCATGCTTTTTCCGATTCGCATGATCTTTGTATTGCATTCTCTTAACCCAACCTTATCAACGTGCCTTCAGACATGGCAAATCCAATATTTATAACATTTTCACAGATCAACTATGTATTTTCAAAAATCGACCAGTCTCTGGTTGTGCGCGTAAAATGTAAAAAAAAACCACTTCCAATGAAAAAATCCAGAGAGCCACGGATGAGACCGCTTCTTTTGATGACAACCACGACAAATGTTTGACAAATTATATGAACCTGGAGTGCTTTGACCGTAAAGGGCTGGTTAAGCTTACATTGCAGTGCAGTGCATAACACGCGTACTGTTACATAAAGGATCCGTTTAATGAGTTTTGTAGGCAAGCGGTTAACTGCCGCACGGAATGACAAGGAAACGGAAACAGCGAAGTCTGCTGGATTTTAGTTTTTCACTATGAGATATTTTCAAAGAGAGCTGTCACTCTCATTGCTTGGGAATTTTTACACTTACCCCCCTATTCTTACTAAGTCACAACATAGCGTATCATTATTACGATTTCTACTGCGCTACAAGAAAGTTCCAGTCACCATGAAGTACCATCCGATAACGGACTAAGGCTGATCGATGCCGCTGGGACGCAAACATGGAACTAGGTTCCAACAAAAAGATCCCTTACCCTACGTGGCATTTTGTCAGAAATTTGGGCGGCTTATGGAAGGTTTCAAGACCAGCATGAATTCCTGTCATAACAAATACGTCGACCTTGGGACTGATGTCAAAAGCTACTTAGATATCAAATCAAACCCATTTGTTAAAGAAAATTAGTTTTTTCGCGCTCCTGTAGAATTTGGGGGGTCGCCAGATAGGCTGGAGTTTTACTCGGATTTTTTTGACTGTCCAGATAATCTGGATATTCGAATATCTGAAAAAATCCCAATATCCGGATATCCGAATAGTGTGTTGACATGATCCTACATTTGGATATTTCGGTGCATTTGCAATTTTTATGCTTGGTACCATGGCAACCGTTTTCATTTTATATTGTTGTGAATTTGTAAATGCATCGAAATATGCAAATCCGAGGCCATATGCACCGGATTGTGATTACCATTATAGGGAAAGGATCTTTTAAACACAAAAATATGCATATGAACTA